TTAAGGATTTGCAGCAGGTAATTTTTTGTTTCTTTTCAGTGTTTTAGTCATTGATTTGATGTGCAATAAAATTGTTTAATGAAATATGTCCTTTTGCATCTGGAGGCAAGTGCTATATATACAAACATTCTGTATTCATTTTTTTACTCTATTTTGGCACAGCCTAAGAAAGCAGATTGGCGTAAGAAACACGAAGACTTCATTGCCACAGTAAGAGCAGCAAAAGGCATCAAGGGATATGAAGCACCACCAATGGACACTTCAGACTATGTACAATGCCCACACTGCGGAAGAAAGTTCTCAGAGGGAGCGGCAGAGAGACACATCCCCAAATGTGCATCTATTCAGAGCAATAAACCTGCTGGAGGTCGGAGGAGGTAGACTTAAGCTTGCGGTTTGGTGCGGCATTTTAAAACATTTACTCATTTTTGTACCATTTACTTTCTGAATGTGATTCATGTCATATGTGGCATACAAGAGGTAATAACTATCATGCCTTCATTTGATGCTGTTGATCCTATACTGCAGTTGGAACTGATTTTGATATTCATTTCCTAAACATGTACAGCTGTAGGTTAATCAAAAGTTAAGAAAAAGAGGAATGTGATGAGTTATGGAATTCAGAATGGACCTACTTACTAAATTCATATAGTTATTCATGCAGTTGTGTGATGTGTCTCATAGATAGAGGTTTGAAGTGATTATACATATAAAGGAGGGTCAGTTCGATAAAAAAATGTAAGTGCGCAAAACAGCACAAAATTGAAGAAGAAAAGTTCCATTGTATAAGTGCTATATATACCTTGCTTTTAACTGCTGTATTTTGAAGTAACTGCATCTTTAACCTGGTTAATATGTAGAGCAAAGCTTTTTCCTGTGACAGGCATTTATATAATTCCAAGACCTATGATGTCAACATTATTAAACTATATGAATGTGATGAGACTGTTGAATGTATCTGTGTAAATGATGCTCAGATGTCATATATGTTACCTTTCCACCGTCAAGATGGAAAGAATGTTTATTTGTTTAGATTAGGAACTTCATTCCATTTTCATGACCTGAGGTTGAGGCATGAGTAACCGAGGCTGGTGCATTCCTTGTTTTAAGTCTTAACAGCATAAAATCTCTCTTCAGTGCCTTTTGAAATTGCAGTCAAATGGTAGAATAACAAAATTTCCCTTTTTCTTCCTTTGTTTTAATGAGAGTTTTACTCAGGAGGTCCAAATGGATGGAGATGAAACAATGGAAAAAGAACGAGCAAGGCACTTGGATACTCTCTGACTGACAGTTTGTTAAGTAAGATTATTCTGAAACACCAGGAAATTGGAAACATAGATGTGACAGTTATTTTGCCCAACACTTCTGTTGTGCTTTTTAAAATATCCGTCCCAAACATATGTTAATCCTGTTATAATTCTATGTGGTGTTTTGGAATTATTTGATAAAGTATGTTGTTTTCTAGGTGTACTGCTGACCCGCAAATTGATATGAGAATAGGACTCCGCTGTCTGTGATACATAAACTAATATATGGTCATCCTAATACATGTAGTTGTAAGTTACATGGATAAAGAGATGAAGGGAGAAAAAAACAATTTTGCTCTGTAGATTTAAGCAAAAAAACAACATAGTTTAAAAGGTTCCTTGATAAGCCAGCCCAGCACTTTTGACTCTGTCAAAATGACAGGATCTCAAGTGTTAATCTTTAGGTGTAATGATATGATATAAAAAAAGAGATAGTTTCCTTAAAAAAAAAAAGATGGTTTCTTGTCTCAATGCTGCCATCACCCTCTGCCATGTGTGTTAAACCAAACACCTGGAAAAGAGTGTGTCAAGACCTCGATTCTTTCCCTTCGGTTCCATTAAGAGAATGGTCACCTGAGACATCAATGGGCTGTCTTGTCAGTCATAATATGTCCTAGGGTTCCTTAGGGCAAGATCTTTATAGCTTAGATAAGGAGTGAGGGTTGCTCAAGTCTTACTATAGCCATTGGTTAAATGATGAGAAAGTGGTGTCAAATATGTAGTAACAATATTGCACTTCTTTTCTAAAATCTGAAATGATTTTGTACAGAACAATGAAAAGTAGAAATAATAATATAGATGGTGAAGACTTACTGAACATGAAGCATCAAAGAATGAGTGATGGTGAAAATGTTCCTTCACTTGTCTTCGTTAATGTTCTGAAACTGACATAACTTTCAGATATTAATAGGCTTTGTATGTAAATGGAATTTTGCAATAAAACTAATACGAAATGTTGAAGATGTTAATATCCCTGTGTTTCCCAACAGCATTGTGGATTTAGTTTTTCAGGTCCACAAGCATACTGATATGGAGAATTGTCTGCATCTATGGATATGAACTGGAACTCGAGAATGTCAATAAAATAGTACATAACATGCGTAGCCATAGACTACTGCAAAATAAGTTTATTTAGAACTCTGTGAATGTCTCTGTATACAGGTAATTACAAAATATGATATATCAACAGTTTACATAAAAAAATATAATTTGATTTATACTGTTTATTACATAAATAAATTAGGTACTTCAGGTAATTCAGTTTGTCCATTAATGAAGATTTGTTACCATACACATATTCTTAAACTTGCTTTACAATATTATACTGGCACATTTTCCCATACTCACAGAAAAACACACCCACACAAACACACACCCACACACACACACACATTCAGAAGAAAAAAGAAAAGACTAATAAAAGAAACATAAGCATGTATGCATTTTATAACAAACTGATAAAAAACGTAAATTCTTTAGTTATATTTTTATAGCAAAGTAAAACTCAACACCAACTGATATAAAAAATAGCAACCAAATATTAATAAATCAAAACAATAATATTAATGGTATAGAAGAACTGCATACATGGAATCACAATCGTCAACAAAATATGGCCTATGATGATGAATGTTTCAACTTCATAATAATAAACCAATAATTCACAGGAATGAAAATTGCCGAAGTATGCAGTAATTGCAAAGGAAAATTATCTGAGGCATTTGGTGGCGCCACAAAGCCGAAGTCAAAAAACAAAAGCATTATTTTGGATGGGAAAGGAAAGTATACATGGTTGATAAAGTATTAAAAAGCACACAAACTAAAACAAGATACCTATAAGACTGAACCTTCCTGTTCATCTAATAGGAAACTTAAGGAAATAAATAGTTAATAAATTAGTAAAATGATAATGGTAACGTAAAGAGTAAAACAAGTTGTTTGAAACATAAGACTTGACAGAATTAATTGCAAAATAAGAGCAATGATACAATACTGCATAGTAAGAATAAAATTATGGTCTATCACTTGGGTAGCACATACCGACTAAATTACCATATATCAACAAAAATAAATTCCATTGGTACGAACACAAACACAAATATATACACAAAACATGATATCAAATAAAAGGCTGTTCATTCCCTTTATAAGATTTAGGGAGAAAAGGAGAAAAAATATATATTAGCTATCATAGGAATTTGTACCATGAAACAATCTTCAGAAAACATAATCTGATAGTAAATATAACACTCGTACTTTCCTCACCCTGAATACACCTTAATCCAAAAGCACTGTACTTGCGAACTTCAATCCCAACAACGAATCAAGAAAAATACCATAATTTAGTTCACTATTTTCAATTTTTTCTCTACCTATTGCCACTCAGGATGACAAACATGTACACACCATGCCTACATGGAGAGAGAGAGAGAGAGAGAGAGAGAGGAGAGAGAGAGAGAGAGAGAGAGAGAGAGAGAGAGAGGAGAGAGAGAGAGAGAGAGAGAGAGAGAGAGAGAGAGAGAGAGAGAGAGAGAGAGAGAGAGAGAGAGAGAGAGAGAGAGAGAGAGAGAGAGAGAGAGAGAGAGAGAGAGAGAGAGAGAGAGAGAGAGAGAGAGAGAGAGAGAGAGAGAGAGAGAAGAAGAGAGAGAGAGAGAGAGAGAGAGAGAGAGAGAGAGAGAGAGAGAGAGAGAGAGAGAGAGAGAGGAGAGGAGAGAGAGAGAGAGGAGAGAGATTGAGAGTGTGATGATAGAGGAAGACAGACAGAGAGAGTGAGATAGAGAAGATATATACAGTGGACATTACAAGCTCCCAGAAGCATTGGGTTAAAAAGCTATTCAGTTCCTTATGGCAATTATTTAAATCAAACACCAATATGACTTTCATGAAACCAGCCACAGAAAGCATTCAGACTCACCAGTTGCTATAATAAAAATAGTCTATTGATTGTGATGTTGAAAATAACCTTATCTAATCTTCCTTTATACTGACTATATGATATTAATGGTGTTTTTTGAGCTTTTGTATTTCATATCGCTTACTATGCAAAAGAATGGAAGTTTGTCCTATTCAGAAAAAAAAAGAAAAACGATTTGTTTTCACATGCCAGCAATGTAGAATACAATTGCTATAAAGGCAGATAGTAAAAAATAAATAAATGTCAGTTAAACTATAGAAAGTCAGAGTTTAAAGGGATCACCATAATGAAGGTCGAAGTGTTAAAATACATTACTAGTCCAGTGATAATGTGTACTTTAATACAAGGTAACCAGTTAGATTTGAAACTTTTTTTATGAATCCTATTGCTCTATAAAAATGTTCAACATTTTTTTTTTTTTACCTTTGAAATCTCTAATATCACAGCAATAAATTAAAAGATATCCCATCAGCCATTTTTCCCTTTCACTGTAGATAGAAATTACTGGTATACTCACTCATACAGCATTAAATTACAATTTCAAAAACTGGGATATACAATTTCACTTAAAAGTTCACTTCAATTATTCTAGTCTTTTCCTGCTGATTTGATTTAGTGTCTTTCATCTCTCCATTTATACTTTGCTACTACACATTCAAATATATAATATCAAGGTAAAAACATTTCATATTTCCAAACAATATAAATCTTCATATAGACAAAAAATATTGAAAACTGCAGTAAAAGACTCAACTGTGTCTAAATGAAATGCCAAGAAATTAGGAGCCTCCCTTTAATTGCACTTTTTACAACGGTATAACTCAATACCCCATTCCACATACTCAGGTCAAATCTTCCTCTTCCTCTTCCTCATCCCCATAGAGGGCGTCCTCCACCTCGGGATGCAAGGACTGAAGTTCCATAATTGAAGTGAGGAGGTTGAAGCTATTACGGTGTAGAACATTAAAGCTTTCCGTCAGTGAACCTCCGAAGTGTGTCTGTAGAACCTATATTTGGAGAAATTGTGTAGTTAGAATACATAAGAGAGAGAAAGAGAGAGAGAGTTGAACCTTACTGAACACTAGGATTTGGTCTCTGAAAGAAATGTCAAATAACCTTGTTTGTATTGCCCCATGATAAAAGTAGCAAAGGTTTCAATATCACTTTCTCTGTCCTATACAGACAAACATGAAAAGTAGAGTGTTTGCCAGTCTGGTCTTAACTTTACTTGTTAATTTTTCCTCATTGTGAAAGCAAATAATTTCTTCGTAATGTGAACCTGTTTACACACTATATCTAAAAAGAAATTTACTGACTTACATAAACAATACTCTGCAAGCACGTCTTGCCAACAGGACGAAGCATCTCTGTGCTGGCTGAAGAATCTGTTGATGGATTCTCAGAGGTTCTGGAGAGCTCGGAGGATTCGGATGAATTCTTGCTCTGGGTATCTCCCTCACGACATGCACTCTCTGAGCCTTTCTTATCTCCTTGTTTCTCAGACGATGTCTTGGAACAAACTCTTTTTTCTATGGAAGCAGACCTGAGCTTCATATTCCTGCTTTCTTCATTCTTGCTCTTTTTTGTATCAGGAATAATTTTAGGCACCTCTCCAAGTGATGAGGATGAATTTGCCTGTTCTGACGAAGAAACGCTTGACTCGGATGTTTCAGGTATGATGTTGGGAGGATGTGTTTCTTTAATTTTAACTGTCTCTTTCCCTTTATGAACTTCTTGAGCACTCTTCTTCTTTTGTTTTTCTATCTGCGTAGAGGTATGTTTGGGCTGGAAAGTCTTGGGAACTGCAGTTGTCGCAACAGGGCTCTTTTCATGGCTGGTTTCTGGGACTGTTCCCAGAAGAGACATAGAGAACACAACATCTTTTGCAGGAGGCTCAGATTGTTGTATCTTCAACACACGTACTTCTTCATCGTCATCATCCTTTTCCCAGAATCTGACTCGCAACTTTTTACTTCCGACAAATTGGCCAACCTCACTATTTTCTAATTCTGGGGAGCAAGATGGCATGAAACCTTCAGAGACATTATGCGGTGTAGGTTGATCAAGTTTCCTTTTGACCTTTGCCACAGCTGGGCTTCCACTATCCTGTGACAAAGCATTATTAAGTATCTTCTTCCTTTGACTTAGGCTGAGTTTGGTTAATTTTCCTCTATTTCTTGGTGTCTGTAAGAAAAAAAGATATCACTCATTTTCAATCAATTCTATTTTAATCCTTTACAATTATGTGAAGCAAATACTATGCACATAGTATTCCATTCTTAAAATATGAGAAAGTCAAAAGTAAGACAATGTAAAAGTGTGAAACACTATACTGACTTTAAACATATATATAGAAATTCTTGTGGTACATGTAACTAGAAATTATGAAAGATCCTAATACATAACTAAGAGTCTGTCCTACAGTAATTTTACTAAACTACTAAAATTAACCTCATTCAAGGCTAGATAATGCTCAAACAATGAGCGATATAATAGGCTCGCCAAGAAATAATAATACACTCTATATTACTTTTACCAAAATGCAACTGCTTGATAAATCCCAAAGGCTCACCTGGAAGGCACTGTTCTGAGATGCAGGCAGAAGAGGAGAGTATTCTGCTTCGCTGCATGGAGATATCTCAGGAAAAGGCTGAGACGTTTGTGATGGAGTGGATAGGTCTGCTCTGGTTGCTTTCTGTATCCACACACTTGACTGTGGTTTCATCTTGGGTGTGTTTGTATCTGATGTGGTTCTGGCCTGACTGGTAGTTACTTTTCTTGGAAGAGTATTTTCGTCTACTGGTACTACTGACTTAACATTTAGTGATGCTAAATCTTTTTGATGCTGTTCCTCTGGTGAGGACTCATCAATATTTACAGTTATCACGTTCTGCACTGCTTCATTTGCAGTTTCTTTTCTTCTTTGTTTTGGTGACTGAGATTCCTTGCTCTGCTTTCTCGTGATAGTTCTTTTTCTTTCTGGAATATGTTTAGGTGTTTTTACTGATGACCTCTGTTCAGGAGTATCTGACTCACTACCAGAACAATAAACCAAAATCTCTGGACTTGGAAGGGAGAGAACATCAGTGTCTCTCTTTTGTGAAGAGCCATGCCCTTGATATTCTTTGTTCTGGAAAATGGCTTGTGTTTGAGTACCAGCGGTTAACTCTGAGGTGCCACTGTTTTCCTTTGTGACCTCAGGGGGTGGGGTGTCTGAAGATAAGACTATGCTGCTTTGGGATGAAGTGGATTGTAATTCGGAGGAATTCTGGGAGCTCAAACTTGACTCCAACTGAGTGACAGGCACAGTCTTAGTTGTGGAAGGCTGTGGGAGACTAGGTGTAATATTCTTGGGACTATGGGAGGAATGTGATTTGTCAGTTGGTATGTTTTCGACCTGCCTTTTAAGGATATTTTTTGTACTTTTGTTTTTCCCTTTTGTGTCTTTGGATTCGTAATATAGAGGCACTCTTATGTTCTCTGTGTGCTTCTCTGGAGCATCCTCTCCTTTGTCTACCTCCATGTCTACTGCTATAATATCTCTGGATTCATCCATGTTGACGTCATAGACTTCATCCCCTGTGGGTGACTCTTGTGCACAATCTTTCTTCTTGCGTTTCCTCTTTCTCTTTTTTCTCCGGCCAAAGGGTAACAAAATGGAGTTGTTGAGCTCTTCCGAATTCTCCTTTTCTATGACCTCTTCCACTGGTGCTTCTTTGCTCGGCACAGGATCTTTCTCCAGGTCTTCCCTGTTCTGCACAGGATCAATTTCGACAAGGTGTTGGGTGAGTGTGATGGCTTTCTTCCTCTTCTTCTTTTTGGGTAAGACAATGTTACAATTCTCTGGGGGATTAATGGGTGGTACTATTTTGATGAATCGTGTTACTGGACTACAAGCGTACACTGGGGTTGATATTCTTGAGCCTGGGGGCGTGGCCTGGCTATTGTGCTGCTCCTTCTGTTGATTTTCAAGGAGCATCTGGTTCAGCAAGAACTTTGTTCCCCGAGTGCGAGTTGTGTTGACGGTTAATATACTACCAGGTGCCAAGGCTTGTGACTTCTGATTACTGCTAGGGTTGTTGCTCATAATAAATGCCAGTGGGGTGTCTGCAAATATATATGCAAAACTTGGATTACTTGGCTCACAAAAAGAGGATGTGAAATAGAAAAAGAATGTGAATAATATAGAGGGAAAGTTATATATAATTAGAGTGTTACATGGAGGGAGAGGAGGGGATAGCAATGGAGAGAAAGAGAAGAGAAGAGAAGAGAAGAGAAGAGAGAAGAGAAGAGAAGAGAAGAGAAGAGAGAGAGAGAGAAGAAGAGAAGAGAAGAAGAGAGAGAGAGAGAAAGAGAAGAGAAGAGAAGAGAAGAGAAGAGAAGAGAAGAGAAGAGAGAGAGAAGAGAAGAGAAGAGAAGAGAGAAAGAGAAGAGAAGAGAAGAGAGAAGAGAGAAGAGAAGAGAGAGAGAGAAGAGAGAGAGAGAGAGAGCAGAAGAGAAGAGAAGAGAAGAGAAGAGAAGAGAGAAGAGAAGAGAAGAGAAGAGAAGAGAGAGAGAAGAGAAGAGAAGAGAAGAGAAGAGAGAGAGAGAAGAGAAGAGAAGAGAAGAGAAGAGAAGAGAAGAGAAGAGAAGAGAGGAAGAGAAGAGAGAGAGAGAAGAGCAGAGAAGAAGAAGAGAAGAGAGAGAGAAGAGAAGAGAAGAGAAGAGAAGAGAAGAGAAGAGAAGAGAAGGAGAGAGAGAAGGAGAAAGAGAGAGAAGAGAGAGAGAGAAGAGAGAAGAAGAGAAGAGAAGAGAGAGAGAGAGAAGAAGAAAGAGAAGAGAAGAGAAGAGAGGAAGAGAAGAGAAGAGAAGAAAGAAAGAGAAAGAGAAGAAGAAGAGAAGAGAAAAAGAGAAGAGAAGAGAAGAGAAGAGAAGAGAGAGAAGAAGCAGAGAAGAAGAAGAGAAGAGAAGAGAAGAGAGGAGAAGAGAAGAGAAGCAGAAGAGAAGAGAGAGAGAAGGAAGCAGACAGAAGAGGAGAGAGAAGAGAAGAGAAGAGAAGAGAAGAGAAGAGAGAGAAGAGAAGAGAGAGAAGAGAGAAGAGAGAAAAGAGAAGAGAAGAGAAGAGAGAGAGGAGAGAGAGAGAGAGGAGAGAGAGAGAGAGAGAGAGAGAGAGAGAAGGATAGAGAGAAGGAGAGGGGAGAGGGAGAGGAGAGAGGAGAGCAGAGAGAGAGTGAGAGAGGAGAGGAGAGAAGGAGAGGGAGAGAAGGAGAGTGAGAGAAAGGAGAGGAGAGAAGGGAGGGAGAGAAAGAGGGAGAGGGAAAGAGAGAGGGAGGAAGGGAGAGGGAGAGAAGGAGAGGGAGAGAAGGAGGGGAGGAAGGAGAGGGAGAGAAGGAGAGGGAGAGAAGGAGAGGGAGAGAGGAGAGGGGAGAGAAGGGAGAGAGGGAGAGGAGAGAAGGAGAGAGGGAGAGAAGGAGAGGGAGAGGAGAGAGAGAGGAGAGGGAGAAAGGAGGGGAGAGAAGGAGAGGGAGAGGAGAGAGAGAAGAGAGAGAGAGAGAGAGAGAGAGAGAGAGAGAGAGAGAGAGAGAAGAGAGAGAGAAGAGAAGAGAAGAGAAGAGAAGAGAAGAGAAGAGAAGAGAAGAGAAGAGAGAGAAGAGAGAGAAGAGAAGAGAAGAGAAGAGACAGAGAAGAGGAAGAGAAGAAGAGAAGAGAAGAGAAAGAGAAGAGAAGAGAAGAGAAGAGAAGAAGAGAAGAGAAGAGAAAGAGAAGAGAAGAGAAGAGAAGGAGAAGAGAAGAGAAGAGAAAGAAGAGAAGAGAAGAGAGAGAGAAGAGAGAAGAGAAGAGAGAAGAGAGAGAGAGGGAGAGAGAGAGAGAGGAGAGAAGAGAGGAGAGAAGAGAAGAGAGAGAGAGAAGAGAAAGAGAAGAGAGAGAAGAGAAGAGAAGAGAAGAGACAGAGGAGAGAAGAGAAGAGAAGAGAAAGAGAAGAGAAGAGAAGGAGAGAGAAGAGAGAGAGAGAGAAGAGAGAAGAGAAGAGAAGAGAAGAGAGAGAGAAAGAGAAAGAGAAGAGAAGAAGAGAGAGAGAAGAGAAGAGAGAAGAGCAAGAGAAGAGAAGAGAAGAGAAGAGAAGAGAAGAGAAAGAGAAGAGAAGAGAGAGAGAGAGAAGAGAAAGGAAGAGAAGAGAAGAGAAGAGAAGAGAGAGAAGAGAGAAGAGAGAAGAGAGAAAGAAGAAGAAAGAAGAGAAGAGAAGAGAGAGAGAGAGGAGAGAGAGAGAGAGAGAGAGAGAGAAGAGAAGAGAGAGAGAGAGAAGGAGGAGAGAGAAGAGAGAGGAAGGAGAGGGAGAAGGAAGGGAGGAAGGAGAGGGGAGAGAAGGAGAGGGAGAAGGAGAGGGAAGAGAAGGAGAGGGAAGAGAGGAGAAGGAAGAAGAAGGAGAGAGGAAGAGAGGAGAGGGGAGGAGGAAAGAGAGGGAAAGAAGGAGAGGGAGAGAAGGAGGGGAGAGAGAGAGGGAGGAGGAGAGGGGAGAGAAGGAGAGGGAGAGAGAGGAGAGAGGAGAGGATAGGGGAAGAGGGAGAGGAAGAGGAGAGAAGGAGAGGGGAGAGAAGGAGAGGGAGAGGAAGGAGAGGGGAGAAGGAGAGGAGAGAGAAGGAGAGGAGAAGAGAAGGAGAAGGGAGAGGGAAGGCAGAGGGAGAGAAGGAGAGGGGAGGAAGGAGAGGGGGAGAGAAGGGGAGAAGGAGAGAGAGAGAGAGAGAGAGAGAGAGGGAGGAGAGAGAGAGAGAGAGAGGAGAGAGAGAGAGAGAGAGGAGAGAGAGAGAGAGAGAGAGAGAGAGAGAGAGAGAGAGAGAGAGAGAGAGAGAGAGAGAATTTAAAGAGTTAGTGAAAGAGAAAGAGACCTAAATCACTTAATTGCTTAATGTGACCTAACAGTTCAGACATAAAAAAAATTGAGACAAAAGAAACTAAACAATTTCCAATGAGAATGAACAATTATGAATAAAGAAATTGCTTATTAGTTTAACAAGTATAGGAAAGATTCATGTTAAAGACTATAAAAAAATGGGTGAATATTAATGCTTTTTGGAGTAGGCTTAATGTTTCCTCAGGTCATAAAGAAACTAGCCTTAAGAGGTTTCCAATGATTACAATAAAGATACAGAAGTATGAATGTAATAGCCATACAAGATATAGAGAATTGCAGTACTATAGGTACATTATACTGGGTTACCTGGTGTCTCATTGTTTTATATATAATAGTATGATATTTGTCGTCCTTTTGTTTATGTTCCTAAAGTCTATACATCATGCAATGGCTCCAGTTCTATAAGATCAAAGAATTTATAGCCTCTATGCCTTCCATACTTAAAAGAAAAGACAACAAACCTCTATCATGTATTTTCTGATAAGTTATAGCTTGCAGAACTATGCAAGAGATCACTGTCAAATAAGGAACCAGCTTTACTTTATTGAATAAAGGGAGCATAGGTATGCAAGACTGATAACTTTGCTTCGCGTGCAGGAGAAATTCCGAGTACAACTGAAGTTCGAACTCAGGCATCCTCTTATCATGTGCACTGATAAAGTATGAATCAAAAGACAAAGGCTTTAAAATTGCTTTTTACCTTACTGTCTGGTAATGTGTTGGTATGAAGTGAAATTTTAGGATTGTGGTGTGTCGTTTTTGACACTAAACCATTCGCGCAATATTTTTCCAAATGATTTCGCATCCATGTGCGCACTTAACATTAGCAAAAAAATTTCTGTGCACATTTTTCAAAATTAAGAGTCTGGTAGATATGTTGGTCTTTGCTAAAGCAATGAAGGCATGAATGCCTTGGAAAATGTAGAACTTTATCTCAGGTAGATGCAGTCCTAGGTTTAAGAAATATGCTACTGTTTTACATGACCATTATCTTTATATGAATTCATAATTATTCTCCTTACCTGTAATGGTCAGCAGAACCAAGATTACCTTTGATGTCTGCTGTGCGATCTATACAATGAAAGCAAATTTGTAAATATTGATAGTGTTCATGCCTCATAGCATTTATTCTTCTCCATATAATTGAAATCTGACACAAAGGAAAACAAAAATAGATGAATTCTTGGAGTTTTTCATTTCGGGCTCTGAGACACTTGCGTGTCCAATAACTTTGTTATTTTTGAGCTGCGGTTAAAGTAAATAGAAGATAAGTTCCTTTGAATCACTCGCTCCCTGTTTAATATATTTTTGTCTAAAAGAAGGTTAGCATGATATTGATCTGTACCGAATTCTTAATAAAAAGTGTAATAACTGAAACAGATAAGAAATTAATTAACAGAATAATATATAATTCAGAGTTTCATCACTAACCAGCAAGCAGGCACTTCCTGTCTTATCTTCTCTGTATAAAACTTTTCTCCCTCGCCTTCCTGTAAAATAAAAAGTAATTTTCATGTAAAACAGTAAAAAAAACTCTAACAATAAAAATCTGCACATCATAATTCTTTAAATAAATAAACAATAAATCACGATAGTTTCTGATTGCAAATAATCTATGTCTTCTTTACTCACTTTATTTGTATTTGAAATTAGAAGAAATGTAATATCACAGACTTATGACTGTTTTGGAAAAATATTCCACGAAACAATCAAATTCAAAATATTATGCACAAAAACAAGTTATAACGTGTTATTCCTGTTTCAAAATGTAAACAAAGTGATACGAAAATGAATCTAAATACGGGTCGTAAAGCATATATACTTTGCTTTGAAACTCTACTTTTACGATGTTTTTGGCTATTTTTCAAAAATTTAATAATACTTAATTTGCCCTTTTATATTGATTATATAAAAATACAATAAACATTTCTTAATTTCTCTATTATTTAAACCGTAAATAAAAAAACTTGACAGATATGTTGCCACTTACCATATTCACAAAAATAAAAGTTCACTGACCTCTGTATCATCTGATTCTGATACAGTTCGTAGGCATTAATCTTTTTGTTTATGTATTTCAGTTGTTCTGATGGTCACCGTTATTCTTTAAATCATTATATTCCACGGATGATGATAATGGTAATGATAAATGTTGATAATGATAAAATAATGATAAAATGATGATGATGATGATAATAATAATAATGATAATATTAATGATAATAATAATAACAATAATAATAATAATATAATAATAATAAATAATAATAAAAATAATAATAAGTAAATGAAATGATAACTGTAATGATACTACCTACTACTACTACTACTACTACTACCTATATAACTACTACTATACTACTACTAATATAATAATAACTAACTACATGATAATAATTAATAACTAACTAATAATATATACATAATAATAATAATTAATAATAATTTAACTAATCTATATATAATAATGATCACAGTCATAATAATGAATGACTACACTGACTGATGATGATAGATACATACATAATACATGACTGATGGATGACTGATGATGAATGATGACGATGATGACTGATGAATGACTGATGATGATGAATGATGATGATGACAATTTAACTACATAACTAATAATAGGATAATACACTAATAGTAGTATACATAACAATACGTGACTAATAATAACTAATAGACTAAAAAACTAATTAATAACCATTACATAAACATATAAAGATAAATACATATTACCATGGACTAATAATTTTCGATAATGATAACTAAAAATACTGTCATCGTAACATATTTACACACAACAAGCAAGTGCTTGACCGGAATAAATTTTATCTTTAGACGGAAACGGAACAACGTTCGAACCGTGGCGGACACGGACATTTGAAATAAAAACACGGACAGGAATTAATTGGTACGCGACACGAACGACTGGAGGGACCAGGAAGAGGACGGAGGAGGAGGGAGGACGGAAGGAGGACGGAGGGAGGAGGAGGAGGAGGAAAGGGGAGGACGGAGAAGAGAGACAGGACAACAACGAGGACGGATGAGGAGGTACGAGAAAGGGAGGAGGAGGAAGAGGAGGAGGAGAGGAAATGGACGAGGACGGAGGAGGGAGAAGAAGGGAGGACGGAGACAGGAGAAATGTAAAGAAGACGGAGGATGAGGGAGGTACGAGAAGAGGAGGAGAAGGACACGAGGATGAGGACTACAAGGAGGACTGAGAAGGAGACAGGACAGAACGGGGACAGGACAGAGAACGGACAGGGAGAAAGTGAACGAAAGAGCACGGATGAGGACGGTAGAGGAAAAAGGGAGGAGGTACGAGGAAGACGGACGGAGGAGGAACACGAAAACAAAGAACGAAGAGGACGGATGACGGACGGTAGAGGACAGGGGAGGAAGTACGAGGAACGGGAGGACGGTAAAGGAACGAGGAGGACTGGGAAAGGAAGAAGGAGAGACGGACGGATGACGGAGGGAAAGGAGTAGGGAGAGGAGGAGAACGGAGAAGAGGGAACGGAAAAGAGAAGAACGGACGGAGGGAGAGGACGAAAGACGAACCGACGGTGGACGGAGAAGAAGAAGGGAAGAACGAGGAGGATAGGCAAGGGGAGGACGGAGACAGGAGAAAGGGAAGGAGGAGAAGGAGACAGGAAAACGAGAACACTGGAGGACGGGAAACGGAGGAGGAGACCAGGGGAGGATAAGAGGACGGAGAAAGACGACAGGAGACAGTACGAAGGACGAAACGAAGACAGGACGGACGGGGGAGGGAGACGGACAGAACGAGGAGCGACGGGAGGAACGACTGGGGTACGGACTACGGAGTAGGAACGCAGTAACGTACTAGGAACGGAAAACGACGGACAAGACAACACGACAACAAGAACGGAGGACGCAGGACGAAAGGACCAAGGCGAGGTGGGGGGGGACGTGCATTGCTTTCACCCCCCAGACACTGCTTGCCCCCTCACGACTTTGACTGACAGTAAACAATTATAAGATATTACTAATATTACATGATAACTAACAATCATGATGATACACTGATATGTAATACAACTGATAATAAAATAATGATAATACAATATTGATAATACATGATAATAAAAATATGATAAATAAAAATGATGAATAATACATAATAAAACATGACTACATAAACAATAATAAAACACAACTGTGAATAGAGTAACTTATTAACGTAACTGATGAATAATGAATACATGATACATGAACATAGTACACTAACTAATGAAACGTAATGATATTAAATTATATTATTATTATAACTGATGATAATGATACGTAGTAATAATAGTAATAATAAATACACTTACGATAACTGAATAATGAATAGTAATGATACATGACCGAATGAGGATAAAACATGATCTTACAGTAATATAATATCAGCAATGATAGTGATAATGATAATATAAGCATACATAGCAATAGGACTACAATACCTAAGATAAACTATATGATACTAATGATAACAACTGACTTATGATATGATAATTAATAACAATAATATGGATAATAACTAATAAATAACTAATAAAACTAATGATGATAACTGATATAGTGATACTAATAACTCATACTTGTTTGCTAATGATGAATAATATGGAATATCACGTATAAACATGATACCTGATAAATACACAACCATTGTTAAACATCATCATAGACTACTCATACACGATGATACTTGACTAATGATATTATTCCTACTATTATTGTTATAGTGATAAACTGATGACTAATAATAACATGTAGATTATTTATATATACATTACATCATTATCATTGCTAGATAATTATCAACTATTAATAATTACTTGATACTCAATTATTATCATACATCATTTTTTATCAATACTCATTATCACTATTGCTATCATTATCATTACTATTATCATTATGCATCACTTGTTGTTGTTATTATTATCAATCATAATAATTATTATACACTATTGCTGTTATTTTTAAACTTTTGTTATTATTATCATTATTATTGTTATTGTTGCTGTTGTTGTTATTATTATTATTATCATAATTTTTTTCATTATTATCATTAATATTATCATATTTATTGATCATTTTTTATATCACTTATCATTAGTAGTAGTACTATCATTATTAGCTATTGCTATTCGTAATAATTATCATCACTATTATCATCATTATTATTACTATCATTATCATTATTGCTGTTATCATTATTGTTATTGCTATCACCGTTACCATTAATATCATCATTTTTATTATCAAAACTACATTATCATTATTATCATTACTATCATTATTATCTTATCACCATCGTTATTATGATCATTTTTACCAACTGTAATGGTAGTGATAGTAATGATAATAAAAACTGAAATGATGATGATATAAATAATAACATCAGTTATAAACAATACTACTAATACTACTATTAACGATAATGATGACAACATTGATGATAATGATAATAATGACGATGATAACAATAATGATAATAAATAGTTATAATAATAATTAATGTAATAATAATATATAATAATAATATAATAATAAATAATACAATAATACATAATAATAATAATAATATAATAATACTAATAATAATATAATAATATATAATAATAATACAAAATAATTAATAATATGATATAATGATATGTAATTGATAGATAAACTAATAATAACAACTATAATATTAATAATACAGATTAATGATAATGATAATAATGATTATCATGATAATATGAATATTACAATAATGATGATGATTATAATAATAATGATGATAACGAATGGATAATGATAATAACAATAACAATAATAATGATAGTAATGATAATAGCAACGATAATGATGATTATAATGATAACATTAATAATGATAATAATAATAATCATAATAATTCTAATAATGATGATAATATTGGTAATGATAATAATGATAATGATAACAATAATATTGTTAACAATGAAGCGTTGAAGAAGAGAAGGAGGGAGAAAAGAAATAGAAGAAAGAGGAGGTAAAAAAAAGAAAGAATAGAAAAGAAAAAAAGAGAGAGAGGGAGAGAATTTGGAGCAAGACAATCAAGAAAATAAGAGAATCGCAGAGAAAACCGGAAGCGCAGCAAGCAATTGGCAACTTAATATCGCGCGCGTAAACAAAAGCGTCTCTCGATGCGCTCTGATCTCTGGTCATGATTTCTCAAATTTCGTAAATGAAACTCTATCAGACTGGAAGAATGAGCTTTAATATCCTTTTTTCCAATTGTCATAGATTCTAAGATTGCCTTAAGTGGCTTTTATGTCGAAATATATGTAATTTGTCCATGATAAACTTTCCATGGCGGTCAACGCATGCGCGCCAAAAAGAATCCGGGACTTTAAATTTCACCAAATCCTCCAAAATCCCACAGAAGTACAGAAGAAAACGTTTAAACTATAAAGTCAAACGGTATTGGAAACCTTTTCCTACACCGGACTTTATGAAGGGATCTCACACAAAAGAAACTCTTTGGACATAAAAAAAAGAAAAAAAAGAAAACGGGAAGAGAAAAAGAAATTTTTAACGATCTAAAATATAAATGCCAGACACGTTCCTTACACTCGCGCTCCCTTCAACCAGGAGGAAAAGGGATTGTGAAAACTTTATATGAACGATCCCTTGAGATTTATGATTGTTTCTCAGAGCAAATAATGATTTCTTTCGCAAGTGATATTGGACGGTGAGAATTCTTGGTGAAGA